GCGTCAGTGGTGTAATGGTCAGCATGGTTGCCTTCCAAGCAATCGACGGGGGTTCGATTCCCCCCTGACGCATCAAAGGAAGTCAATTGCCAACGCTTCCACAAGCCAAAGTTTTGCAGAAGAGATAAAGAGAGATGTGTTGCAGGCTGTGGCCACCACTCGGAATGTCCTACAACTCAATTGTAACACATACCATACCGCTATATATCATATTGGCCTACGATCTTGTGAGTATTTCGAGTTAGGGCTTCCAAAAGTCAGTGCAGAATGAATGAATTTCATAGCAAAGAGCATCTAAAGTAGATTAATTAAAAGAAATAATTCCAAGTGTGATACAAACTCGACCTTAAAAGTATGGTATGATCATATGATTATTTGAATGGGTACTTGTGCAATACACTGACCACTTACATACCTACTTGACCTCAGGGAGTTTCAATCGATATTGATAACTTGTATAAATAAATGATCACTCTCAGGTAATCGTGACGATCGCCACTGGTCTTCTCCGTGCGCTCTTAACTTTCAATAAACAAATCATCCGAACGCATTTGTATTTCGACTACTTTGCATTAGCATTCAATGTGATCACATTAGTACTATTCCTCCCACCCTTATTTTTACCAAATTTCCAAATTCGTAATTTCGCTAATATATTACTGATTCTGTGCTTTGTCACTCAAATACCATTACAAATTTGGGCAATAACAGTGCTACGTTCATGTCTAGAATTCTTCGTTTTGGTGCATGTATTGGTTGAGTTAGCGGAGAGATAATTAATTGAGAAATGTCTGGAAAGGATGATATTCTCTCAGAATAGAAAGTTACGATACTAATGCTTTTTACTCTCTATTATATTCAATATCCATTTCGTTTCTTTTGAAATTTATTCCAACTTTCAAAAAATTAAAATTGCTATTCATTTACATGTTTCACTCACGCAAACACAACATGCATCTAAATTGCAGAACAACAATCAATTATTGATATTTTGGAAATTTTTCCAGCAAATAAAGTTATCATTCTGAGTATCAGCATACTACTGTATTCGAGGCACCGTTGCCTCTCTCTCTCTCTCTCTCTCTCTAATTCTTGGTTTAAATCTCAAGTATGTTAATCGCAGTTTGCACATCTCGGATCACACATTGTGCAAAATTAATTTTCCCGGAATGATAAATATAAATACGTTTCACAAACATAGCTACATTAAAGTGACTGCAAAATTATGGATTGCTATGAACTAAATTAGGTTAGGAATAAAAGAATTATATTCACATAAGTGCTGTGTGAGGGTTTATACCTTGTCATTTCATGAAATAATGAAATGCGATATTTAGAATTAGAAAATGTAATTAGAGGTCCAGTAAGTATATCCATAAGGAGTTATCTTCACATATCGGAGTAATTTCACGTGGTAAAAAGTATAGCAATTTACCGTCATCACTGGGATCAGTGAAGGTCTGTTAAGATATCGTTTTGTGCGCTATATTTCTATCAATCAGGCCATTCTGATTGGATTACACTGTACGACAAATTAGGCATACGGTATTGGATTAATCAAATGATGTCAACTAATTCTCGATTGAAACATCTAATGATATCGTAAAAGTAAATACTGATGTAGTAAACTATCAATGAAATGGAATTTTCTCAGATCTACAGTATGAAAATAATCCAAGCAGCCAATGTCAGTGTTATATAATAATGACACATTTATGCAGAAATTTCTATATCAACAGAAAACGAGTAATACAACTGTATTGCACAAAGAAACTTTCAGAAAATCCTATCATAATAAATGCTATTTATATGCGTATATAAGGATTTTCAGAAGTGAATTAAAAAGATGAGTATATATTTTGGAAAATATAAATGAATATACGAATATATGAAAATTAATATATAATTTGCAAATTTCTAGTGTACAATCTGCAAGTTAAAAGGCAAATGATATTCTCATAGATAGGCTATATCTCTAGCATACACTTATGATGTAACTCATAAATTACCTAGTGAACAATACACACATGTAATGCGAGAAATCTTTCGATTAATATTTATGTAGTTAAGCAAATTTATTGTTATTATTCGACTAGGCAAATTACATACAAAGTATGAATGGGTAAAGCTTAAAAATAAAAACTAAAATCACCGTAAGTTTATTAAACCGATAAAATAAGTAATTATGTACACTATTATTTTGTGTGACAAAATCGTGAGGAAGAGACATCAGAATTATATGACATGAATTCTAAACACGAACACCATAGGCATCAAGTATTAACAATCCAAATATCATTCTGATAATATGTAAACATTTCAAACCGTAATAATCAAACCGAGATAACAGTAATCACAAATTATTCTTAACACGTGATAATATGTAAACATTTCAAACCGTAATAATCAAACCGAGATAACAGTAATCACAAATTATTCTTAACACGTGTAAAACCTTCACTTTAACTTGATAAAAATTAAAAAAGTGCTCAATAATTTGAATGATTATTATGCAAATGAAATCTGAGCAAACAAAAGCAAGACAGCTTGTAATGCGCAGAAAATCTACCGGCTTAAATAGGCGTATGCACTCGTTTAAAAAAATTTAAGATTCTTAGTTCAGAAATTGCTTAGTTACATATCTAGAACTGTGATCAGTTAAACCCAAGATGCTATAAATATGCCACATAAACAATATATGACTAAGCTGTGAGATGATATTGATTAAGCAGAAGATCGAGCAGCAACAATCCTTACACAACTTTATGTTCATCAGCAGGCAGATGATCATATTCATAGTCACAGTGAACGAAAGCTCTTTCTACCTCCGCCAAACTTTCGATACTCGTCTGTAGCGATTCGCTAATATCATGTGACTCTCGCAGTGTCATATCTGGATTCATCACAATGTGAACTTCCACTAGGAAACGTGTACCGAAATGATATACGTAAACAGTATCGATGTAATCAATTCGTTTGTCATGCTCCACACATACCTATAAACTCATAAATTCGAAAAGCGATAGTTTAACAGATCGATTGATTAAAAGGAATGATTTGACCAATGGCTGCTAGCTTCCTTAAGCCTCTCATGTCATTAATTTATCCTCATCCATAATCGTATTTGGTGGCGCGAACAATACATATCAGAATGATTCCTCGTACTGCAACAGTTAGCAACCAATCTTACATATTAAACACAGCAATAAATGATTCGAATGGAAAAATAAACGACCTTCACGATACGATTAATGAATTCTGGTTTAGCTGACTTGCCCGAAAGCATTACTAAGTGTTCTTTTCCTGTGAAAAACCAAGTAGTAGCAATATATATGGATACAGCAATAGCACCAATCGGATCAAAATACAGCCAGTAATTTGATGCGACCCAAGCACATACCTGCAATAAACCATCCATGATGAGTGAGTGGAGGAAGTGTATTCATACGACGGAAAGCAATGATAATAGTGATTACTCGATCTATAGATTTTCAAAAAAATATAAGATAGCATACTGAACAAACTAATACTAAAAACTCACTATAGCGACTGTATTGGATATACAATCATTCCAATGATCCTGGGCCAGTACTGCCACTGAAGAATTATAATCAAATCTAAAAAAAGTCAGACAAATCATGTATTTCTCATAATACCTTACCATCCCTGAAAAAACTAATAAATTACCTAATCATTGAATGGAATATATAATAGAAGCGACTGCATGCTAAGCAAGGCCACGCGGCGATTTTCACCATGCCAACTATTATAATTCTAACTCGATTTAAGTTGATATGAAATTTCTAAACATACTAACTTCTTACACAGAAGCATAAGGGCGAATTTGATGAATATAATAGCAACCATAATGGATAACGAAACAATATCCACTTTTGGATTAACTGTATCATGGATAACTGACTCTAGCGACTGCACTACCATTTGAACAGATGCCACTCCCATTATAACACTTACAATTACCTATAAATGTCTTCTGCTAGAATTTCCAAATCTGTAGGAAAGCGTGGGTACGAAATAAATCGCCAAACCATTCCATTTAACAATCACCGGTGATTAAACTCTGAATTAGAGCGCCAAAAGACAGAGATTAGCGTTGATTAACTAAGGAACCCTTCTTTCTTTGAAGAACGGTGTAATAAATGACAAAAAGAAATAATAATATGATCGAACTAACCAAAGCAATAGGTTCCAAACGTGTCCTTCCTCTAGGATACATATATGGATCCCGTTTTCTAATGGCGCGAGCCGTTAACCAAATCACCAGACCCGAAGTTATATCTACCGCCGAATCAACTAGCGAAGAGATTATTGATAATGAACCCGAGAGATATGCTGCTGCAGTCTGCAACCAACAGTGAGTACTGCCGTTAAAAGGTGTTTATTCAAGAGCAGCAGACGGGGATAGTTGGAGATACATGGAAAAGCGCCATAAGAATTGATAAAAATATTAATAAGTGATAATATTACGGACCAAACAGTAACCTTAGCAATGGCTAACGAGACGTTAACAGTAAGAGTAGTCATAGCCAACCATCGCGCAGCCTTGTCTGCTGATACATTCGTTGAAGAATGTACTCTAAAAAAAATTTTTGTTATCCGAAGAAAAATAAAATGCAATAATTTTATTAATGCACCTTTTTTTTTTGGGTTTCACTTCAGGCGTCTTATGCTCACCATCTGTTGAAGAATTCTCCACGAATACTTTTTCAGGATTGGAGTCACTCTCAAATAACATCATTTTAGATTCGATGCAGTCTTTGGCGTTCTGTTCTAAATCTTGCAATTTTTGTCTCCGTCGTCGGTGTTCCTGAAGAAAAAAAAATTAGACAAAAATAAAAAAAAAAACGAAAAAAAAAATAAGGGAATGGGAAATTCCAATAAGCTCCATGATATGCAAATGTGTGATATATCCAATTCTTTGTTAAAGATTACCAAAGTAACAAGAACTGAGTCAGATAAATCACTCAAATCACTAAATGAACTGAAAGGTCACGAAAGAATCTAAATAAACCCTCTGAAAGCTTGTTTTTTTAGAATCCCTTAATAAGTCGCTGTCCAAATATGAATGTCATAAAAATTAATGAAATTTAAGAAACGAACTTCGATAGCAGTGCTATCTTTCTTGAAATTCTCCATCAGGTTCGATTGCTTTCGATAAAATTTACTCAATCGTTTCGGATTCCTATTCAGTAAAAGAGATGGATTCGAAAGCATAATCCCAACGGAAGATATACTGTAACTGTTGTGTGGAA